TTTGTGGCATTACTTGGGGGAGGCCTATGTTCAGCAGTGGACTTGTGAAGGCTGTAATGATGATATATATATATATATATATATATATATATATATATATATGTATATATTATATATATGTATATACTATTGGGATGCTTGACGATCCATCACTGTGCGATTTACTATGAGTTTTCGCTTGTTCGCCGCGCATAACATCCTTGCAAAATCAGCATTTTACAACGATTCTTCATCTTTCAACGATACAATATAACTTATAGACCTTCAATATAGAGTCTACTACTGTTCTTTAAAAGGCCTGACGTTGAAGATGTTCATTGGCAGCGGTAGCCACGATCAGGTGACCGTTTGTCCTGGTTTCTATATAGTTATTTCCATTCTATTCCGAGACCCAGGGCACGAAATTGAAAATATTCTTCTTCTAAGTACTTCACGAATAAAGTATTTTACATGCATCGTTAATTTTCCTAGTTTATATCATACATATTTCCTGATCATCTAAAGTTCTCTTAGCACTAAATTATAAATCAAATAATACTAAAATTATCTATATGAAGGATATCAATATAAAATTCTGTATTTTGTATAAGTATGTACGTCCGATCGCAAATTTTTGGTTTTGATGAATATAATACCAGCTTAATAGCATTGATAGAATTGCAATAAATTTCAGTTCATTTGATTGAGCATTGCATTGATAAAATAGTTTTGTATCATATTGAATTTGCTGTTGTCCTCGAATATTCGCTTGAAATGAACAATAAACGTAACTCAATAAAACATAAAGCATTTACTATGCAAATTTATTTACAAAACGTTTTAACGTTGTGTAAATAAATTGTGCAATATTTTTACAATATTTTTAAAATAATTTAATAAAATACTAAAACTTAGCATACAATCTCTTACTTCACACAATATAGTGCTAAGAACGATGGTTGTTGACGGTGTGGCAATTACTCGCTGCATGACATGCGACGAGAACTTCTAAATGTATTATTTTAAGGAAAATGCAACATTTAGAGTTAATTTTTTTTATCATTAACGTTTAAGTGTTTTAAGTAGGTATAAGCGCTATTTGTAAGAAATTTTCTTAATAATTTGTAGCTACATAAAGATAATTAAATAAAAAGGCTCATTATGATTTGGGGATGGTTAATTTAATAAACGTGGGTCAGAAATTAAATTTCTGCGTAACAAGGTCCACACTCACCATGCGGGTCATGTTAGTTGCAATGGATTTACTTATCGACATCACAAGCGAAGAGATTAAAAATAAAAGTCGGGGAGATCTAGCGAGCAATTAATGATGTTATTACACTTCTGTATTTATGTATTTTTCAATGATAACAATGTATATTATGTAGTTTCAAAATATAGTCACCAATTGAATAAAATTGGCGATTTTTCTACACATTTGTAGCCTAAAAATATTCTGCGATATGGTTAATACAATAATTTCACTAATAGATCAACCAAATAAGTTGCCAAAAACTGTTAAAATATTTTTGTAAAAATCACTCCAAAAAACTTTTAAATTGTTAGTTTGTATTACTTGATTTAACAAGTATTGTTTTGTAATAAAATTGATAGAATTATATATGGGAACTGTTAATTTGGAATAGTAATAAAGAAAAAATATGTGTAGTACAATGAAAGTCTCATCACTAAGAACTATTTACGAAGCCGTGTACGAAAATTAATCAACTGCAGGGAGACGTAACACAAGTTGACGTTGTATCTCTAGTGACGGTAAAACTCTTCACCGCAGCATTGGAAAGGATACGGTTTCAACATCAATAGTAAGTACATAATTCATATTCAAATTCCTGTCAGTATAACTAATCCGGCAGATTTTCTGACCTTAGCACTAAGTTTCTCACTGACCTCAATAGTGTCTCCTAACGTATACGTCACGTGTAACGCGACGTGTGACAAAGGTCACGTGAAATATTCATGCTACACCTATACCAGTATTTTTGGTAACACTCTGCTTGAAGTTGTTGATGAGTATGTTTACCTAGGAAAAATTATCCGACTCGACTTTCGAGCTCAACCGACGGCGAATACGTAGTTTCCCTGCATGATAGAACTCTTAATGAGGAATATTCGCAATAGTACCCTGATTAACTAACAAAGCATCCAACAGAAAGAAACTGTCATGTCAATGGGCCGGTCATATAACTCGAACAGAAAGAAACTGTCATGTCAATGGGCCGGTCATATAACTCGAACAGAAAGAAACTGTCATGGCAATGGACTGGTAATATAACTCGAAGAACCAATCACTAATTAAGGTTTTTGAAAGGCAGCCTCATACCGTAAAGCGATGTTGTGGGCACCCACTAATTGGAGTTAGAGCATGATAATGAGACATACAAGTCGATGGGTGCAAGTAGCTCAGGACGGTGTTTCATGGCGTTACTTGATGGGGTTTACATTTAGCAGTGGATTTGTGAAGGGCTGTCTTTGTGTCTTTGTGTACTTTTAGGCTAATAATTAACCTCTTCAATTTCTGTACACTGCCCTAGCTGTCTCAGCTAGTATAGAAATCCTCGGTGTCGACATATTGAATAAAGTGCAGTTTCGTGGTTAATTGGAAGGAACGGCTAAATTGACCTCTAAAAAGCTTGGCGTGCTTAGAAGGGCGGAGCAGTATTTTATGACGGCACACCGCTTGCAACTTTACAAGGCGCAAGCTTGGCGTGGAATACTGTTCTCATCTCTGGGCCGGGGCACCCCAGTACCAGCTCCTTCCACTAGATCGCATACAGCGCAGAGTGAATCGAGTCGTCGATGACCGAGTGCTTTCTGATCGACTCGACTCACTAGCGCTACGAAGGGATGTTGCAACCCTTTGCATTTTCTATCGCACCTACGACCACACACCATCTGGATGCTTGGCATCCCAGACTGTAGCACAGTGGCGCACTTATTTAAAACTTTTCGAGTCTTACTTCCTATATACTCTAAGTTCTGTTAACTTATGTGCAAAACGCAGTAAAACACACAGTGTGGATCCACCACTGTGTGTTTTACTAGGAGTTTTCTTCCTCGCACAACCTCTTTGTAGAATTGTTTACTACTGGCGATTTTGCTGGACCGATACGACTTAAGGAGTTTCAATAAAAGTGCTTACTTCTTTCTAAAGGCCGGCCAGCCGGCGGTAGTCACTTACCATCAGGTGAGTCACATGCTCGTTTGTACTCTATGCTAAAAAAAATTGGTGGACCCTGCAGGCCATCACTGGAACTTCCCGCTAATTTCAAATGGAAAGAGCTTCAAATTGAACCAAATTATGAAGTTGTATATTAAATATCGGAGTAATTTAAAAAAAAAAATTTTTTCAAAATTTTTCGTTAACGTTATCTCACGAACGAATCAAGCGATTTTAACCGGACCGACAGCAAACGACGTGGTTTTTTCAAGGTTAAGAGCTGATAAGTTTTTGTAATCGATCGGTAAAGCCGTTTAAAATTATTTCAAACATACACACAGACACCATCGAAAAATTGTATGGGTAACCTCAAAACGTCAAGATTTTATGAATACACAATTTTCGAAAAACTGGGTACAAACAATAACTCTCCGATTTTTGAAAATTTTCAATTTTGTTAGCATGAAGTTAAAAATTATATAATGTGTTGTGCTTATCGAAAAATTGTCAGAGTGGCTTCCTGTGACCTCAAAATGTCAAGATTTGATGAAAGCTCAATTTTCGAAAAACGGGGTACAAACAATAACTCTCCGATTTTTGAAAATTTTCAATTTTCTTAGCGGGAAGTTCTTAAGGGAATATTGTTAGCATTGATTTCCCTATATTTCTATATACTTTCCAAGTGGTATAGAACACATTTGTGTACATAGGAGTTAGTCTCGGTATGAAATACACTCGTCTCTAAACTTTAATAATAGATCGGGAAAATTTTCTTCGTGTTTTGTTTGCATATACAATTGAAGAAAAATCTCATTGGTTATACTGTTTGTATCTGGTGTAATATCAATACTTATAGGACAAATAAGGTCAGAAATCAACATTTTGGCACTCAACTTTGCATTTTTGATATAATGTAGTTTTAATAATACAAAAATAATTTGTAAAGATTTCGTGTCTGCAAACCTTGCCGGGGAGAGAAAAAAATTGTCAAAAGAGTATTTTCGCAATACTCGATAACGATAAAAATTAGACAACGAAGTTCTAATGAAAATGTAGATGATAGAACTTAACATTTTACATAAAAAATGTTTTATGATTTTTTTCCGCCGATCAAAATTAATCGAGTTAGGGAGGTTTTAAGTTTAAGGGATGAACGTAAATTTTGAAAAATTGTAGGTAGAAGAAAAATAAACGAATTATATTTTTTTTAATTTCTTTCAAAATCTATATTTTAATTTGGGGCAATATCGACATAATGTTAGAAGTTACGACATAGCCGATGAAACCACCCATTTGAAAAAGTCTGGCCATACGAAAAAGGTCGATATTTGGGTACTTCACGAGGTCATTGGAATAACAATAGGTTTCTCGTCAATCGTGTACGCGATTCTCTATTGAAACCGAACCATTTTTGAAAAGATTGATCACTAATGATGAAAAGTGGATTACCTACGACAAGAACGTTCAAAAAAGATCATGGTCAAACGGTAGTCAAGTTCCACAGACTGTAGCGAAACCCCGATTTAACATGCAATAAGATGATGCTGTGTGCTTAGTGCTAGCTTTACTGGCGGTCAAAACCATCGATTCAAATCTTGATTGCTAACAACTAATGAGACTCAAACAAGAAATTAAAAAAAAACGGCCGGAATAGACCAAAAGAAAATTAGTGGTCTTTCATCATCATTCAACCAGATTATATATATACGCGTTTGTTTTTATAGTTAATAAATAAAAATAAATATCATTTATACAAGTACCTGTGTATGTCCAAAATATTTAATTTTATGTCAAGCGGTGTTAGGATGCACATATTGTATAGCACTATGATAAAATTACTTACCGGTTCGGGATGATCATAAATAGCGAAGAGCCTATCATAGATAGAGATATAGCGCTCTGTCACAAGCTTATTCATCTTGTAGCTGTAAACGGCAATCACATCCCAAGCGTCCTGTAGTGTCTGTTCAAGCAGCTCCACCCTCAGTGCTTCATCGGGAGACAATACTCGAAAGAGTGCCCAGTAAAAGCGCTGAAAATAAAACCTTGTATTAGTAATTAGTAAATAATTTTTACGAAAATGTAAAATCAAGTAAAGCAAGTGTGTAGCAAACTCGACAACCCTTGTGCTTAAATATATCGACAATTTATATATGACGTTAATATATTTATATTTTCATCATTATCAGCTGGCAATCTAATGAAGGTCTATGTTTATATACATTCTGTCCAATAACAGGGTCTTTAAAATTTGGTCTAATAATAATTATTAATTATTTTAAGGAGAGCTTGAATCATCATTACTCCTTATAAAACACTACTGCTTAACATAGGTATCCCCCACAGATTGCCTCATAGGGATCGTATATCGCCACATTCACCACGTCTGTGAAGCTGACTGGCAACCGTATTTCGTTATTACTTTATCGTTATCAGGAAGACGCTGCTTCCCAGCTCCTGATTTCTTTCTCTCATTTGCCTCTTTCGACACACCGGCACTACACGGTATTTAATTTTAATCCATACTAATATTATAAATGCGAAAGTGTGTTTGTTTGCCCTTCTTTCACGTCGCAACAGAGCGTCAGCATGGCATGATTTTTTGTATGAGGATAGTTCGGTGGCTGTAGAGTGACATAGGTTACTTTTCTCCGTGGAAAAACATCTCATTCTCGTGGGAAAATAGAATATGTTGCAAAAGTTTGTCCTTCTTTCACGTCGCAACAGAGCGTCCGCATGGCATGAATTTTTGTGTGGGGATAGTTCGGTGGCTGTAGAGTGACATAGGCTATTACGCATATAGACATAGGCATTTCATTATACGGAAAAATATATAATTTCCGTGGGAAAATCAATATGTTGCAAAATTAAATTCAGCTAGGTGGCGCCACCGTGATTCTACAAGACGGACGACGGTACGAGTACGATGGACGAACACAGAAGGTCAGAATATCTGGATTATTATGTCTTTTTACCAAAATTAAGATAAAAATGTATGGATCTATATTTTTCAACGCAGGACCGGGAAGAGAGCGATAAAAAACATAAAATTCATCAGCTGATTTTCTTCAAACGTTTTGGTGCATTGTAATTCACAGAATAACCTCGCAGACGATATTAAATAATCCGTTGATGCTCTGCCTACCCCGCAAGGGTTACAGGCGTGATTATAAGCATGGAACAGAAATACTATCACCAACTGTCACGCTTTCACCCTTAACTATTACTTAACTGTGGTAGAAACAGTTCTTAGTAAGCCTTATTAATAAGCCTTAGTAATATTTATTGAACGGAAATGAACACAGTTCTTATATCTGGTTATGAATGAATCGGTATTACAATAAGAAAAATTGTGCAAAATTACAAGAAAAATATTTTTTGAGAGTTCTTATTAACTAACTTAAACATAGTTAAAATTGATTCCGCTAGATGTCATTACTAGGTTTTTAAGACGAGGTAACGAAATGTTTCCTGACATGTACTTAACTCCCGCCGTCGAGCCGCGCGTCAACTTATAGTGGATACGGTACTTATACGCTTAAACTCGATTTTTTTGGCTATCGTTTTCGGATTCGTATTGTGTCTTGAATTGGTTTTGTTTTTTTGGTTTTAAAAAATATTTAAAAGGAATATTTATTCCTTTTAGATATTTTGGTAGACATGTGTCAATCAATCATTTCTAGCGACCGAATCATTCTAGTAAATTTCGTCACGCGTACTGGTACATTTGGATCGATCATTCAAATGGATCGTTTAAGGCTCCAGTACTCTGTGAGATCCATAGGGAATCGAAAATTTTAACATTTATTTGCTACAAAATTAAACATGTACCTATCTTATACTTATATAAGGTGGTTGAAAATTATCATTAAATAATACATTTATCATGAAATCTTTTGAAGTGTTATTTTTAGTAAACTCTACGAAATTATATTTTTAACTCATAGATTTCACAAATAAATATAATAAAAATTAAAATAATTTTTAATTTAGGTAACAATATTATAATTCAAAAACTCCTAAATAATGAATACTCCTGATACTCTGCAGTCTACATTGTCAATACGATTCGCCTGTTTATTCAGATCATTCGGGATTCGGTCGATTTGCGGCTCATTCACAATTCAAAAAAATCGCCGGTTAAAAAGGTACCGTCAATTGTTTGTAATTGGTTGTACTGGTTCATTCAAAAACAAATGAATGAACCATCAATACTTTTAAGTGTACCAGCTCAAACGAACGAATCATGCATGATTGACACATCTCTATATTTTCGATTTGCTTTAAAAAAATATTTAAAAGGAAATTTAATTCCTTTTAGGTATTTTAACGTTCTTTTATAAATAGGTTTTTTGTTACTTCGTAATGCCTCGCAAACGTAAGTCCAGCCTTTCAAGAGTATCTTCTCAAAGACAAGCGAAAAGATTAGCTCGATCGTTAGAATCTTTAGAAGATGCTGAACTGAGAAGGCAAGAACAAGCAGAGCGTCAGGTTGCTTTTAGAGCATCTGAGACACCTTCTCAACGTCAGCAAAAGCGTCTTGAACAGACAGAGCGTCAGGCTGCTTTAGGAGCTTCCGAAACACCTTCTCAAAGTCAGTAAAGGCGTCTTGAACAGGCAGAGCGTCAAGCTACTTTAAGAGCTTCTGAAACACCTTCTCGAAGTCATCGAAGGCGTCTTGAACAGGCAGAGCGTAAAGCTACTTTAAGAGCTACTGAAACACCTGCTCAAAGTCAGCAAAAGCGTCTTGAACAAGCAGAGCGTCAAGATACTTTAAGAGCTACTGAAACAACCAATCAAAGTCGGCAAAGGCGTCTTGAACAAGCAGAGCGTCAATCTACTTTAAGAGCTACTGAAACACCTGTTCAAAGTCAGCAAAGGCTATTCGAACAAGCGGAATGTCAGGCCGCCTTAAGAGCACCTTTTGAGTAAATCGGACCAAAAATTAATATTCAAAGACTGAAGGTAGCCGGACTATGACATTGGGACGTCAAACATCTCAGTCCCCCCGTGACCACGAGTGCTGTAAAGCACCCGAAACGTCGGTATAATAAAAATAAATAAAAATTGAATTAAACGCGATAAAATCCGTAAATAATAGTTTTATTCAATGTGTAGTGTCCGCGTAAATTTAAGAAATCATTTGTATCAGTTTTTTATTCAATATCTATTATTTAATTTTTCTATTTACCGCTTCTTAGAAATTATCTCTGGTTAGGAAAATACATGTCCTGAAAAAAACTTGCATGAAACCTAGCTGGAATATAAAAAAGTTTAAGAAACAGCTAAGTAGCTAATTTACTACTTACACCAATGAAATGGTTAATTTACCACGTGCTCGGCGGTGAAGGAAAACATCGTGAGGAAACCCGAAATAAGAAAAATAATGTTTCTAAGACGAGATGTTCGCCAATATGCATTGGGTCAGGGCGGTGGACATTTCCTTGCCCCAAACATCCTCTAAGAAATGAAGGGAGACCTGTGCACAATAGTAGGACGTATATAAGCTGTAAATAACTAACTAACTAACACTTATTAAAATATTTATAACCGGACTACAATCGTACTCTTAATTATGCTATAAATATCTAGTAGAGTTTTAGGAAATCTCATCCAAATAGAGAATTCACTAACTAAACTGCTTGAAAAAAAAAAACGTTATGGAACAAGTAATTATTTTTTAACGCTAGTAAAACATATTTGCGTTCACTGACTGGAAAAACTTGTGCATTGGAAAAACAAACATTGACAGGAAAATATAAGTTTTGTATTCAATTTACGGAAGCAATAAGCAAGGTTATCCCTCGGGCAAACGTTTTACCCTTTTCATGTGGCATCTAACACCATTCAAATATTCCAAACTCTTTGTGTTACAGTATTATCATAAAGTTTTAATTGTCAAACAATTTTGTTTTTCAAAACGTGAAACAATAAAATTAAAATGTTTGTGTCTTTTACCTTTGTCTTTTTTTTCAAGTTAGAATAATTGGTGGTCAATATACCATTTTTATATATTGCTATATTGTAATAAAAAAGTTTACTAATGTAAACAGTGCACAATAATATAATAAGAAATGATATTTATTAGATACCTTAACGGTACAAATAACACATATCAAAATACCAACTTAAGCGCTACCTGTAAATTTTGCAGTACGCGAACAGAATGGGTTCGATTCTCGACGGCAACAATGAAATTATTGATTGAAATTTCCAGTGCTGTTTTATTTATTATTAATCGTGAGAAAATCTGTATTTTATATGCAGATCTACTATATACAAAATTCCACGTGCATTGAATCTGCGCATGAGTGGTACTGTAAATTTACTTCAAAATATTGGAATATGGTTGTGTATATAATATACATGCTTACTAAGCGAAATGTAGAGTGAGAATACTAGTCCCCACACCTGTTCCTAAGAAAACTTTGTTTCAGTTGAAATTCTGCGTAAGTATAAGCTATTTAATATAGCTTTAGCTAAGGTTACCGACTTTTCAGTACCTCAGACCAACTAAGAAAGATAGACGTAGCGCAGCGTACATTTCAAATGATGTCAAAACCATGCACAACTTTTTGACATGCACACTCCTTTTATCCTTCTCTATTATCAGTCCGTTATTAAACACCGCTGGACGCACACATACCGAATACAGAGTGAGTGAAAGTGGTGGAGTAAGAATAGCTACTAATAATATATAATATATAATGATATATCATATCCATAATATCATCCCGTGGGTGTCGTAACAGGCGACAGAGGGAAACAAATCAGGAGATGGGCAGCAGTGCCTTCGTGATAACAACTAAAAATAAAAACTGCGGTTGCCTACCCGCTTGCCAAGCGTGCCAACTATACATAATATCCCCCCCCCCCCCTACAAGACATTTATGTGGGAGGCCTATGTTCAGCTGTCGACTTTAATATAATGTAACGGATGCACACATATATACTTAATATAATAATAATAATAATTTATTTGATACAGAAAACTTAAAAATGAAAAAAAAGAATGCATATTATGCGGGTGTC